ATTAAGTTGCATCGGTTCTTATTTCATTTTTTTTGTAAGCCTTAATAAACTGTTAAGTAATGTAAAGTAGCGCAATGGTAAGAGGTGCCTTGCAATGCATACGTTGTATTTGGTTCGATCCCATTCACCGGCTTCAATAAGGGCTTCCACGCTTCCAGAGTCGGCAAAATGGTGCGTCCTTGTTTAGAAGGATTGCAGCACTGAGTTAGTAGATCGGTAGGCATCCACCGCAAGCCACTGTTAAACGAGATATGTATTCAATCAGCACTAATGATGTTTGGAGAAGTCAAATGCATGGCGCATCCTTCAGAGACAGATCAACGCCAGAAGCGTTATCCTTTATCCTTTTAATATAACGTCGAAGTCGTGGAAACGTCAGTCACTGAATCACGACAAAAACAACCAACTGGTGCAAACCTCGTGCCGGGTCAAGAAGGAAAGTTACAAGAACTACATATATCAACCATTTATGCTCAGGCTTATAGAAAGTCGAGTTTTTTGAGTTATTCTGGTTTTCAATGAACCTCTCCACGTACAGTCACGGTCTTGGTTTATTCACATGCTTGACCAAGGTTGTTATAAGACTTTGTAGTGAGTAACATTTCTGTGGTTTCGCCTTCATCAGAGCCATGATGATTTGTATCTATTGTCGCAGCAGTTCGCTCTTCATACGATGTGGGCCACTGCAGTGGTCGCACATAGACGAATCGAGTAAAGTTGAATACCGCACGAATGAAGTAGAGTCACTGAGCACTATCGTTTTATGCAGGACTCCGGCGCCACTAAAGTGACTTGATCTCACTCTTTAGTTTCCCAGAACACAAGATGGTCCATGATCGACTGCCAATCAAAATCATTTCTCTTATGCTAAAAATTTATATTTTGGCAGTCGGATTCATACTAGCTATCACATAGCAAAGCATTAAAATTGAAAGGACTTCTTGTGTATTGCTCAGTATGCTGAGCACTTCTATCTTGATTAACAGGCCACTGATGTACGTCACCTATTTCTTGAAAACATTGTTGATCTTCGCAGAGCTATTTTGCTTTGCTCCTCGTGATGTACGATGAAAATTGAATCTTGCTCTGCAATGGTTCGTAAATTCGTGAAAACTGATTACTTTTCTAAACCTAGTCCTAGCATAGGGAGTGTTGACTATTTGATGATCCTCATATTGGGGTCGATACTTTTTATCAGATCACCACCAAAGCGTGACGACAGCAATGTTGACGAAATTAAGATACATTATATCCTTTCTGAAGGGCACGTGAGGCGCAGTGGTCGGAGGCACCCTGCCACACCACGTGGAATCGATCTCTGCGCACATGGCCCACCAAGCCTTCCATCCCTCCGGCTTCGGCAAATTGGTACCAAATTTGTCTGGGAAGATAGCAGCACTGGCTCGATACATCAGCAGACCACCGCGAGTTATTGTAAAGGTCAGATATGCATTCAGTCACCTCCAACGATACTTAATGAAGTGGAATGCATGGCGCATCCCTAAAGGAATTGATTACCGCGGAGAGCTTTATCCTTTTTTAACTCTTCGCACTAAACTACTGCTCTATTTTTTCATATTCTCGTCCATTCTCAACTCTACATTTTTCGATATACGATTTACAGCAAACTTTTGGTGCTGAGGCTTAAATTTAACGTAAAATTACATTCTTTTTAGTAAACAAACAATGATTTGAAAATATATTGAGGAAAGATCCATGGTAAGTTCATAACGGAGCCCCAGTGGTTTCTAAAATTAAAATGAAGCTAATTTTCCAAAACTACATGCCTAGTCGAAAGTCGAAGCTTTTTGGCCGAATTGAACTTTACAGCTTTATAGCAGTTGATGAAGAACACCTAAGACCCATGTGGTGAAATAGTGATGAGTCAAATCAGCAGCTTTTTAAAGCATATATGGTTAAAGCACGCATGTGGCGCAGTGGTTGGAGGCGACCTGCAACACACACATGGAATCGATCCCAGCGCCTATGGCCCATCAAGCCTTCCATCCTTCCGGGATCGGCAAATTGCTACCAGACTTGTCTGGGAGGATAACAAAACTGGCTCGTTATATTGGTAGGCCACCGTGAGTCATTGTAAAGGCCCGATGTGCATTCAGTCACCTCCAACAATACTTAATGAAGTCGAGTGCATAGCGGATCCCTCAGGGACTGATCAACGCCGAGAGCTTTATCCTTTTTTTATAGCCTATCGGACGTATCGCTGAACGCTTGCCATTCTTTTTTACAGCTCAACAGTTGGAAATATGAATAGTGAACTCGCTCGTGAAGCTCTGCTGGATGCATTCGCTGCATTCAATGTTCAAATTTCCTATTTTTAGAGACCACGAAGCTTGTGTACATTTACTGCAACAGGAGTTTGGAAAATTCACACTCTTCTACCGGTGTGCAATAAAATTTTCTCCAGATCAATGCCTCGGAGAGCATGCAAAGGAAAAGTATTCCGTATATATACAAAGAGGCTTTCGATTACCCAGTTTCTCTGCTATCCAATTGACGTAAGTTCATTTCATATAGTGCAAATAACGCAAGGTTGGCATTTCTCCTTCATCTCCGTTAGTAGTTGATGGGTAGTTGACAATATCGCTTTCACGTGCTACTTTACTTTATTTTTAGTAGATCTGAATTTAGATCACCATAGTGAATTCGGTAAGAGCAGAGCAACCCTAAGTCGTGCTTTGAAAATTGACTGCTGTAGTTCGTGTAAACATAGATTTCAAAAACGCTACGAAGTACTTACCGGAAGGGCATCCAGTAGATGCACCCTCGACATCATTACAAGATAATGGAACAGTACCGTAGTTTTTCGAACAGAAGTTTGTTTGGACAATACAGTTATCGAGGAAAGTTGCACAGCTACAACTCATGATTTTGCTAGATTTTAGGACTTTTTAACCATCCTGCGACGACGCCCAACCTCGAGTTTGTTGCAGAGTGTTCTACACCTAATTTTCAGCCTTTATGGACTTTCTGGTTTTTGCAAATAAGCAACAATCTCTCTCGATAAATAGAAAATCGTGGGTTGCGAACACGAATGCATTATGGAGAAGACTGCTGTATTGTTCTATGGGTATGAATGATATTTATGGTCTATATATAATATGTTACTATCGTTGCATTGTACAAATACGTTACTCTCAGCATCTGAAAGCGTTCTGCAACTGATGTGTCTCTATTTCAGTAGTTTTTACAACCACACTTTCTATACGATACCTATCTTCCACTCTTACTTGCTTGGATACTTGGGCGGCCCGTCTTCACTGGCTGTACTGCGGGCCCGAAAAAAATTTCCATTTTCTGGAAATTTGCACGTGTAGTATATGTGTGTACATATATATATACATATATATATATATATATACATATATATTATAGCAGTGGGCGCGTGTGGCCCACACCACTGCGACACACACGTGGAATCGATCCACGTGCCCATGGCCCACCAAGCCTTTCATCTCTCCGTGGTCAGCAAATTGTTACGAGATTTGTCTGGGAGGATAGCAGCACTGACTCGATGCATCGATAGGTCACAGCGAGTCATTTTAAAGGCCAGATATGCATTCAGTCCTCTCACCTCCAACGATGCTTAATGAAGTCGAACGCGTACCGCATCCCTCAGGGATTGATCAATGTCGAGAGCTTCGGAGTTTTAGCTTCATATAGTATACGCATAGATTAAAATGAGCAATTTCTTTTTGCATATTTCTAAATGCAGCATAGGAGCTTACCGACCAACACTTAACACAAGATCTGCGTTTTACAAACTATCAGTTGATTACAGGAAGTGTAGGAAGACCGCTCAATGTATAAACCACCAGATAGAAGGTGAGACCTATAGGTATCTTATCGGCCACTCCCACAAAACAATTATGAAGCCTATAGGTGTCACGTCGAGAGAGCGTTAAAAATTTAAAATCTACGGGAACAGATGAATATACTAAATGTAGTGTCAATTTGCCTTAAGTTTGCTTTTCGTTACAGTAACCATTCATAGGCGAATCAATTGCTGTCTGTAGAGTTATAATGGATGATGAGGTTGGCACTTAATTTACATATTTATTGAAAGTCCATCTGATAACAACTGACTTTGAGATACCCAAGTTTTTGAAATGTCATGATGATTTTATGTCACATGATAGATTACAGTATGCTGTAACTCCTTGAAGGAAATGTTAAAAATTAAAAAAAAAATTTCAAAATATACATTGCAAAAACAACTATTAGAAAAAAACATTTTCTTCTCATAACTACCACTGTGGTCCGAATTCTTTCCAAACTGGAGATGAGAATTCAAAGTACTACGGTTAGTAATTCAAAGTAGGACTACGTCACTTTTTTCAAGTACATGACCCATGAGGCGTTTCACTCTATAGCACTCTGCTATGCGTGCATTATTCTTGACGATATCACAAGACGGTTTAGAAAATAAAGAAGCCGTAGCTGTTCAAAATTAGTGACGTTCAGTTCAATCTATGAAGCTACTGTCGCGGTCTGCCCTGAGTACAGTCTAAAATCCTAGAACTACGCGTTCGAAATGATTTCAAGTTGGGATCACTCGGTTAGGTGATAGTGCTGAAGAAGCAGATAAATGATAAGATGGTGCCTTGTCGTGATTGGGATGTAAAGCAATAATGAGAGGTCATATCTGAACTAATACTGCAAGTTTTTGGCACAATTACATATCGGGTGAAACTGTCATCTATGTAAATGGCAAAGAAAAACCTAAACAGTATACAAGCAGGAATCAAGAACAAAGTTTACATCGTGAATCATTTTATAGCTAAATATAGATATTCTGATGGCATCATGAAGATCTATGGACACCTACAGAGGTAAAAAAGTTTGAAATGTAAGAGCGACGATGTCGCAACCATTCAGGATCGGCAAAAACTACTTGTTTTTCACCGGAACGACATCTGGTTGCGGCAACCGTTTTCGTTATGTGGAAATTACAAACTTATTGTGATATGATATTTAGTGAACTATTTACAAATATCCACTTGAGTGGTATTCGTGCACATCTGGCACACCACTTTACAGCACCACTCGAATTTACAATTACATTTAGTCGTCTGCTCAATGGTGTAAGTGTTGTAACCACGTCCACAGCATAAAGAATCACAGCCCTCCGGGCCATCCGAGCTTCGCCTGTAAATCTGAGGATTTCGAGACTGAACCGCCAATGACTGAATCTATTGGCCATTACACACGCACAGTTATTTCAATGTGGAGGTGAGTGAGTAGAACATGTGTACCTCTTATAAAGGTTGTAGTACTTTCTTGGATGGTTTGGACTATCTTGAGCGTTTAAATTTAAACTGTTTCGTAACATGAAAATTTTTTGGCGGTTAATACTACACTTTTTAAAGGGATCTGTTCACTGGCGAGATAGATCTAAGCCTTCCAGTTGCATAATATACTGTCGTTCACGACCGCTCATATTTTGATGCTCATATCTTTATAGTTCCAAACCTGTCAAAGGAAGTGTTTTGGACCATCATATTACCTATGTTAGTGCTACCAAAATTCGGATTTTACATCACACTTACAAATAGTTTAAAGGATTGAAGAAGTGAGGTTAAACCAGAAAGCAACCCAGTGACTTTAGGTTGGAGTTATCCTCTGATATAGCTTATTCGACTCTGATGGGAGTCGCAGCTGTTACCTGCAGGCCCGTCCGTGTGTTCCAAGCGTGCCGGACGCCCGATCTTGTCTACAGTAGTCTGGAGAGTCGTCCATGAAGACAAGATCGGTTGGCAGAGCGCGAGTCTTGCGTTTGCCTCCGGGCTCCTTCTGCATTTGTTCAGAAACTAATTGCAAATTTCCTCGAGAGTTGACCTAAAAGTGTTAAATTATCAACGCAAATTGAACACCTTGTGTTCACAGGTGTTGACGCTTAACTATGTTTTTTGGATAAATGCCGGCGTACTAGGCAAAATCAGCATTCTTTGTGATCGACGACCTTTTGACATAGTGATAACTGTGGATTATTTTATAAATTGCACAATAAGTGATGTTAGAAGTATTGCTGTAATTCATGTCCAACGAAATTATGTGGCGTATTAAAGTGTCTTTACTGTTGAATAATTTCACAGGATTAGAAAAGTGGAGTGTCATAAGAGGGAAAACGAGTTGATTCCAGCGGGTTGAAATCAACCTAGTTGTCAGAATAGACTCCAAATTTAACTACAGCGTTGCTAAGATTTTTGCAAAACTCCGGACTACTGGTGTCTGCAGTGGTGAACGAACGCGCTATTACCCTTTCCGAGGCTAGCGCTTTCACCAGCATGCTATGCGAGTCCTTCGTTTCGCCTGTCTCCCGTGTTATTTACGTATAGCAGCTATCAGTAATCACGCATCAAAGGGATTGATCTGGGGAGCAAAAACCCGATTCGGAAATCTCGGGAATCGGGGATTAAAATTGTGATTTCGACTACAGCCTCAGCTTAATTGGGTTCATTGCCGGGGTTTGGAATCTCCAGATCAGACCCGCTGACGGGTGGTTGCTGATGGCACTGATCGATAAAACTAGCTGAGAGACAGGCGAAACAAAGGATCGCCATGGTTTGATGGTGAACACGTTAGCCACCAGAAAGGGTAATAGCGCGTTCGTTCACCACTGCAGACACCAGCAGTCCGGAGTTTTGCAAATATCTCAGCAACATTGTGGTTATATTTCACATAATACCCTACCATTAAAATATAGTAGGCACTTTCCATAATCGACTTTCTATTCCTATTTTTATTTTTATTTCTATAAAAACTGAAGACTCCAAATTGTTTCCGGATAGTACGCGTCTCGTGAATACTTCTTTCTATTTCATTTCTTATGTATCGTTTTCAACTCCTCTACATGTTGAAATTACAACACTGTTGTTTCTTCTAAATCTGTTCTTGTGATTTTAAAATTCACCTGGACTCGAATAGCGTTTTTGTATTTGTTTTGCAATATATTTCCGACTTGTCTCATCGTTGGTAGTTGCATCCAACACGTCTTCAGATTGCAAGCACCCGAGACACCGTGGCACTTGCACTTCGGTGCAGTGTGACGCTTCAAAATCTACAAAGGCAGTGCTGGATATTCCCTCGACTTCTCGCTTGCTTTCTCGCTCCAAGCGATTTGTTTTGAGAATAATCTTCGTACCTTTCTTCCGGCCTCGTTGTTCCGCCGGTTCATTAGCGATCGACCCTGGTCCTGGTTCCTGCGCGGATCTCTTTCTTTTTCTCGGATATCGATGAAATTCCTAAAGAGGCTAGTCTAATATACCTATTGGGAAAATACAAAGGATCAGAAAAAGTAAAAAATTTGTCAATTTTTGCCTTTAATTAAATAGTGAATTGCGTCAGATCTCATTCAATCTGCAAGTGGGAAGTTAACGATTCCGATTACTCAATGTCTACTCTGGCCTACGGCGGAAGATTTCACGCAGTACCCTCTAATTTAAAAAATGAAAGGTTACGTTGCTTAGTTGATTAAGTCATGATCCACGAAAGCTGACTTAGAGAATCGATAGCCGTAGTCGACGTTGTCGCCACAGCCTCCCCAAGTCCAATCCTCAGCAACATGTTTTGGTTTAGCCTCATCTGAACATCCGCACGAAGCCAGTAATCCTAAACAACGAATTTTGGTAAACAACACTATTACTATCAAGAAAAATGGAAACCATTATAGACGGTACTAATTGTCTCTACGTCCTATCATCACCTCAAAATTGGTGCAGGACTTGCTTGATCTTCGTTTGTAGAGGTGGAATGATGAGGCCTTTGCGTTTTGTTTCCCTTTAGTTTCCTCGAAAAATTTTGCGACTTTTACAGCACAGTAGTCGTCCACAGTACTATCAGTGTTAGTCATATATTGAAATATCACCGTACTGCACTTGCAACGGATATGATATCAATGCAGATTGCATCGGATATCAATGCAGAGAGTACGGACGTGGTTCGTCATAACAACGATTGTACTTGAGAATTGGCAGAGCAGAAATCTCACTGTATCATTAAAAGGAGACATCGCTCTGGAAACGCTTTCTTTATGATGTCAGTTTGCTCGTTTTCGTTGCCAATCAAAATAATGCTAGTTTATTTCATAACCGTTTCACCTATTGGTCGGAATGCGACAGAACCTTCTGAGTATAAAAAGCGAGATTTGTTCAGCAAAAGGTGTCAGAAGAAGCTACACTGGTGAAGCCCACACACACTGCTCAGCTATACTGTACGCGATTGTGACCCTTTTATCTATGTTAGACTAACTTAAATTGAAGACATTTTCCACAATCTCTTCGCTTTTCTTCATTGCTGCGTGGAAAATTGAGGAATGCTTCATCACTTTAGTGAAAACTTTCCGGCTTGTTCCGGAAATTCTCAGCACGTGGTGATGTATCCATTGTTTCAAAGGTGATAAGATTCGCTTATAGGATTTTACATTGTTTTAAAGGCTGTAGTCAATGATTCGGAAATGATTTGAAAAGAGGAAGGTTATTGTACCAAATTGTACCAACCTTGCTTACACCTCCTCCCGATCTCATGAGTTACACCGGCTGATAAAATGGCGTACGTGAATGCAGCTTCGCGCGTTCCTGGAAAGTCCTCTCACTATTTTGATATCTATAGCCAGAAAATTTCTTGTCTTTAGTCGTAATCCTTTAGGAATATAGCGAAAATGACGAGTGTGGCAAGAATGGTTGCACCTAGTTTGTGAACAGGACCAACTATTCCAGACCCATACGGTGTTGAACAATTCCATCTGTTAGATTTAAACTGATATTGGCATTCCTAAAGTAAAACATTATCCCATTTTTCTACCTGCGATTGAAAAAAGTTGAACTTATAACGATGTTAGAGGTTGATGATCTTCTACGATATACCTATGACGTTGGTGGTAATCGAAGATGTCTATAACACATCAGAAGAATGGCAATTAACTTTTTCTTCAGACCTATAACTTCACCTGGATAGCTTGTTGCGCTCCCTGGCCTACTGCTGGCATATGGTCTTTGAATAAGTCGCATATTCGTGCCTATAACTAAGACTTATGTCATAAAGTTTTCATAAATTTTCGTTTGTCTAAGGATTTTACGCACTTGGCCAGGTGACAGTCCTCTAAGCGAGCACACTGGTCTTGCATTCTGGCCAGCTAACGAAGTGGAAAGCTGTGCAACCGATGACCTTGAATAACAAGCATTAACAGCGGACAACTCGTTGGAAAGTTATTGATGTCGAACACCATGTGTCGATGTTTCAATTGAATATGGGCTGTGAATATGAGATTGAAACCTTACATGGATCTCGAGTTCAAAATTGTGCTAAAGTATGGTGACACTTTAGAAAGACTCGGACGCACATATTAATGAAAAAAAGATTATTCGCTCTTCCCTATGTAATTTCTCGCTTTGGCTGCACTGTGGTCAAGCCTGTCTGTTTTTGATCGCTTATGATAACCCCTTCGAGGGCACGTGTAACACCAGTGGCTAGAGGTGTTCCGCAGCACATGTATGAGCGATGTTTAGTTCTATCCCACGTTCCGTACTCATCAAGTGGTCCTTTGCCCTTGTAACCTCTTTAGAAATCATTTAGTTTTAAATCGCTACTTTGATGATTCCCCTAGTCATCGATATTTTGTTAGTCAATCATCGTAATGTAAAATGTCTCCACTACGAGCAAAATCCAAATGGATGGCGACTTATGAAGCTACGACGCTAAATGGGAGGCAACATTACAGAACATGGTCAAACTAGGATTTGCCCTGTGTTGTTTTGAAAGGTACTTGCTTTATTTTGGTGAAATTTGTTTCCTAAGTGAAGTTGTAGTTGGGAACTAAACATGCTTACCACCAGGAAGCATCCATTACTGGCTGAACCACTTGAAAGAGACCAACTATGCAAATGAGACGCCGCATGATAGCGGATCGCCTGCAAAGTAAAGACGACGAAAAAGAACGCACTGCTGAAATCTTAGACTATAAGGAGCTTGTTTCTTACCGCATTTCAGAAAATGATATCTAGCGAGAGCATATTTTCAACAAACGATATTTCTAGAAGCGAAACAGAAAAAAATATGATTAAAAATACGATAAGATGATAGAGAAAGGCTATGAAAAGAACAATAGTTTAATTAAGCACGATGCCGTTAAGAAAAAGGATAAGTCTCTCGGCGTTGATCAATCTCTGAGGGATGCGCACTTTATTAAGCATCGTTGGAGTTTATTGAACGTACATTTGGTCTTTTACAATGACTCGCAGTGCCTACCAATGAATCATGCCAGTGCTGCTATTCTCTTAGACAAATCTAATTCCAATTTACTGAGTCCGAAGTGATAAAAAGCTTGGTGAGCTTTGGGTGCGGGGATCGATCCCATGTGTATTGTAGGTAGCCTCTGACCACTGCGCCACATGCTTCCTTTAATGATGCCACTAATGAACGTAGATGAGATCATGAGAAGGTTCCAAAAATTTAAAATAGGTATTCGATCAATTTTAAGAGCGATAGAAGGGCAAGTGATCAAAAAAGTGGTTTCAGCTGCCTCGTACATGAGGAGAAAAACGGCAAGTGCCATAAAGTAGTCCTAAAGTAAATTCGATAATGAGATTCACGAAGAAGCTGAGACGAGGCGTGTAATTGCTGCATAAAAGGGTAGATGAAGCGCACAATAGAGCTGCTTGAAACGATGGTGAATTGTTAAGAAGATGGTTATTCAACAACTTGCGGAACTCAATGCGTGCCGAAAGCACGAATGAACTAATGGAAGAAGAGAAATTAGCTCTTGAGGACTACGAATAGCGTAAATTCAGCTGAATTCTACTTTAAGAAAAGTGATGAAAGCTCCGTAAGGGAATACAGTATCTACACAAGAATCGAGGCAGTGTTGGCAAGACTCGTTAGTCAATCTTGAGAGAGTTTAGCTATGAGCAATGGCGATTTAAGCTCTGCAAAGAGAACCAAGATTGCTAGTGTCACTAAGGTTATTACAGTGGCCTAAAACAATAAAGGAAAAGTACAGAAAAAGTAAAAACTGAGGAAAGAACAACCTTAGAATAATTCCGAGACTGAGCTTTGTTGCTGAGATATTTGCAAAACTCTGGACCGCAGGTGTCTGTGGTGAGGAACGAACGCGCTATTATCCTTTCCGGGGAGTAACGGAAAGGACAATAGCGCGTTCGTTCCCCACCATAGACACCTGCGGTCCAGAGTTTTGCAAATATCTCAGTAACGTTGTGGTTGTATTTCGCTTAGTACCCTGCCGCGAAATTATAGTAGGCAGAAAATAAAAAGGTATAACTAAGCTTTGTTTTATATTCAAGATGTTCAACGTGAGATTGTGTTATTTCGATGAGTTAATGCAATACAACAGCAAAATAGAGACAAATTAGCAACAATATGACCAATATAAAAAAATTAAGACACTAAGAATGTAAACAGGCCAACGAAACTAAATTATGTACTATATAAAAGAAGAGATAAAGCTCTCGGCGTCGATCAATCCCTGAGGGATGCGCCATGAATTTTACTTCATTAATCATCGTTCGAAGGTGATTGAATGTATGTATGTATGGCCCTTACAATAATTCGCGGTGGTCTGCTGATGTATCGAGCCAGTGCTGCTATCCTCCGAGACGCGTTTGGTACCACTTTGCCGAGCCCGGAGGGATGGAAGGCTTGGTAAGCCATGGGCGTGGGGGTCAATTTCACGTGTGTGTTGCACGGCGTCTCCGACCACTGCGCCACAAACGTCTATGTACTATGTATTAGTTGGAAAACTCGGCTTTTCATATTGCACATCCATTCCTGCTGTCAAAAAATTTTATATTTGGTAAGAGAAATCGTGTAAAATAACCTCAGAAGACATCTTTCAAAGAGCGTGCGTATGCTGTCATTGAAGATTATACAACTCCATACAAACAATGATGGAATGAGGCATTTAAGAGATATGAAAACAAATAGATGTGAGTCGAACAAACACAGATTGTGATAACGCCTGAAACGATTTATTCATAACGTCACTATGTGGAATCCAGTAACAACGATTTTTTCTAACCTTCAAACTCTCTTTAGTGCTTTGTCGACCGATATCGGTAGGCACGGGCTCTGTTTCGAACCGCGACATGAACCAAGGAGCAGTAGAGCTACCCAGTCTGCAAACGAGCTGCATGTTTCCACTGGAGGTCCATCTGGGCGTAATCGTGTGCCAGCCGTGAGTACTGTCGCTCAAAAAGTAGGGAATGAAGGCGTTGTTTCCAAAATGCGATGCTTTTCATATCTCTCCATCAAGAGCAACTCAGCGAGCAGTACTGATGAGGGATAAGGACGAATGGATTTTATTAGAGTGCGCTCACTCAGTAGTGCAAGCGCTCGGAAGCTTGCAGAATGAATAATACGATGTTTAGTTCAATAATAATAATTATAACATAATAATAACATAGAAATACAAAATAAAATTTTACTGACAGACTTTCGCCAGTTTCAACACTTTCTACATGAACATTGTAAACTACATCGATCAAACACCTCCGGAAAATGTTCTAAAAAAAGTAGTGAAGTATGATAAGAACGAACCCTTTACAACCATCTATCACATGTTCCGGTTATAGTCAACTGACTGTAGCGGGCCCCACTACAGCAAAAATTTGTCATTGTCGTATGGAAAACTAACCCCCTACATTCTGTTTGTCCTAGCGACTCACATGCACCATATTTTCCTTTCAGTGTCTCCGTGAAGGATTCTAACTATTGCGTCGTTACTGTTCCTACTGCGCGCATGAGATTCGGAGTGATGTAGTTGCTTACAGCTTCTATCCTATCCACTACTGCCCATGATCACGTGAATGGTCCACCTGATTTCTGACATGTGTGCGTAAACGACGGCGTCCTTGATCTTCAATTGTTGACGCTGGTCAGAACTTCGGATTTTTTTTAGCCTATTTCCCTCTTACGGTGAAGGCCTAGCAGTATCCTCTTGATCACACTTTTGATAACGATAAGTGATCTGTTATCCACATCGTGCTGCTTACGTAGTGACCAGGATCATAAGGGGTGTGTTAAGGCAAGAGCAATTGTTGAACAGAAAATCTGGACGCCAACTCGGGTGTTTTTGACCTCCTGATAAATCTTCGATACCTTTGTAACGTTCATAAGCCGATTTTTTTCTTCTAGCTCAGCTCTCGATTAAAGGCGGTCATCATGTTGGCTGCTCATCAGAGATACACATAGTGTTGCAGCATTTAGGATGCTCTTCTCTTTGAGAGTAAACTGTTCAAAAAGCTGCAAAAATGCTCGTTCATTTATGAGCTAAAATTGGATTGTTATTAGAAAGTTTAAAACTCGTTACAAAAGTACAAAAATGTGGCTTTGCGAGACCTTAAAAAGGGCATATTCAAGTGCTCAAATATGGGAACCAAAAGGTCGTTCGTAAACATCGTTTTCCTCCCAGTTGTAAACATTACGTGAAGCTGATCTAAACATCACGGTTAGCTGAATAATACTGGAGAATAGCAAAACAACATCTGCCGAATACCGTAACAAAATTGAAATGTCAACGCAACTTGAAGTATGGTTTATGTAACGTGTACCTTGAATAATTTCCCAAACAAACGAATTGTATCAAAGCACTTGTGGAGAAATAAAGCGTTTGATTCCAGATTCATGCTATCCATCCTCACTTGTAGTGAATGAGATCATTTAAATACTAGAACCGCTTGAGATCGAAAGAAGTTACGTTACAAAGTTATGTGCTGGGCTAACCACAAAAGTAAAACATCATATTTGAGAAAAGGATTAGAGACAAGAAAAACTTCTGGACATCACAGTAATTTTAGACTAAGGTTAGCTAACAGATTATGTGCTTCTCTCCCAGAATATGAATGGTTGCCGATCGATGAACTTAGGCGACACAAGGATCGTTATCCACAGGATGTAGAACTTTTCCTAGTAGAACCTCTTTAGTTGGTGCCAAACCGGCAAAATTATGTACGATCGAGTGCTGCCGTGAAGGGGGCAAACCCTAGTTCGCCTCGGTCGTATCTCTCTCAAAGCTGCAGCTAGCTGGCGAAACTAATTTGCGAATACATTCGCATGAACCAGCTCGTCATCCGATAAGATATTCCAGCATTTTGTCTCTTGTCATTCTCAAGAGAAACGCACAAGAATACTGTAGGCGTCTGGATGTGGTACAAAAGAGCTCACAGCTGCTTAACTCTAGGGA